CAAAGACAACTATGCCCTTATAGGGCGACAAAACATAAAACAGCATATATAACACTCAAAAACATAATAAAATTTGGACTCACATAACTACAGTGGTCCTCACCTCCTATCTAACAACTAACATAAAACATCTACTCAGAAAAACATCATAAAACTAATTAATCTTCAACAATATAGAATAAAATTTTAAGATTCTTTTTCAATTTCTTATCTATCTTGTTAATTTATTTTAACCTTTTCATAATTTTGTTTCAAATTTTCTTTTCATAATTTTTTTTCAATTTTAATCTTATCTATCTTGCTATACACTTTATAAAGCTTACACAATGAGTTTGCTTTGGTTTTTCCCACAAAAGCTTAACACTCCCTTTTCTGGTGGATGGAAGTCAGAAATGAATATTGTGCAGCTACCTATGTCACTTCCAACTTGTGCAGAAGTATTTTCTAAGGAAACGTAAAGTATAATTTCATTAACAAAAGACAAAAAACATGTACAACAAGGATGAGAGACTTGTTGTGGGAGCCAGAGGACACAAAAAAGGATCATTTGGTAAAGTGGGAGGTGGTATCAAGGAGTAGGGATAGTGGAGAACTAGGGATAGGAAACATCAAATTTAGGAACATGGCACTGTTGGGTAAATGGCTGTAGAGGTTTCCTTTGGAACAAGAGAATTTATGGCATAATTTAATTGCAAGCATTCATGGCATGGAAGACAACGGATGGGATGCTGGTCTCGATCCTAAGGCAACAAGGGCTTCTCCTTGGAAAGAAATTCATAGTTTGCTACCTTATTTCCTTCCATTGGTAAGGTATGGTGCTTGTATGGGTAACAAAGTACGTTTCTGGGAGGATGTCTAGTTTGGGGGCATTCCTCTCAAAGACAAATTTCCACCTATTTATTCTTTGTCCCTCAACAAAGGGAGAGTGATTTCTTCAGTGCTTGTTAAAGAAAACTCTTGTGATCTAGGATTAAGGAGAGGGTTAAGGGAATCTGAAATGTGCTTAGTAGATGAACTTATCTCCCTTCTTAATACTGCATTCCTAGACCTCTCTTGTTAGGACAGTAGGATCTGGTTAGAATCCCCTTCTGGCTCCTTTACATGTGCCTCTTTCTTCTCCACCCTCCTTCAATACTCACACCCAGGAGGCTCCTTTCCTACAAAGGAAGTCTGGTGTAATCCTGTACCCCCAAAAATAAGAGCCTTTTGCTGGGAGATGGTGCTCTAGAAATAATACTCAAGATAATTTACAAAAAAGGAGGCCGATTCATTGCCTTTCTTGTCCCTTTGCTTCTTGTGTGTGGAGTTGGTTTTCTTCCTTATTTGGTTGTAGGGGGACCCCTCCCCTAGATGTGACAAGTCTTTTCAACCCAAGTTTCTTCCTACTATCAAAGAAAAGGGGAAGAGTGATGTGGAAGGCAACAAGAGCAGCCACTTTTTGGTCTTTATGGGAAGAAAGGAATAACAAAATATTCCAAGGGGCACAAAGATGAACAGAACAAATCATTGACTGCGTAGCCATTAAAGTCATACATTGGCTGAAATAAGTGACTTATTTAAAGACTTTTCAGTGGATGATATACAAAGGGGTTGGTCAGCAGTGGCAAACACTTCAACCAAACAGTTTGTTCTTCGGCCTTCATGGACACTTGCAGCACAACAAAGGGTAAAATTAAATTTTGATGGAAGCTCCATGGATAATCCAGGACCCTCGGGAGCTGGGGGAGTCTTTAGGGATGAGGAGGGCAGAATTGTGGCACTATACTCTGGTCCCATAGGAGTGGGAAACTCTTTGAGAGCTGAAATTTTGGCTCTTCTACAAGGCTTGAGATTTGCCAAGCAAAGGGGATTTCAGAACTTGGAGGTGGAAGGGGAATCTAAATTGTTAATAGGGTGGCTGCAAACAAAGAAGTTGGGAATATGGAATTTTAGACAGAAAATAAGGGAAATAATCTGGCTTGGCAAGGGAAGCTGGAGTAACATTCAAATGGGTAAGGAGATCAGCAAACTCTGTGGCAAATAGCTTGGCAAAACAGGGGACATTCAGGGAAAACTTTTTTTGGGCTGTACTGTAACTCTTGATGTTGTTTTGGGGTCAACACTCTTTGTCTGAGTGGTTGACAGTGTAAGATGTTTATTTGATATCCTTAATGAAAGTTACCGTTTCCAATAAAAAAAAAAACATATACAACAAGCTGCTGTACACAGGGGGTATAACAATCATTGCCCATAGAATCCTATATCCCCACACCTTGCTTTACAAAAAGACTATCGTATACAATAAAGAAATTATAATTTCTCTCCCAAAATAATTCATTCATAGCAAGCCAAGAAAAAAAATTTTCTGGTATACTGCATCTACCAAGCTGCTTTTGTTTTTTGAATATCCTTGCATTTCTCTCCTGCCAAACACACCAAAAAACTGCTGCAGGAGCAATATTCCATGCCACCTTCCACCTCTTTCAATTCTCCAGCTTTGTATAAAATCCACCACCGATTCTGGTACAGACATGTGTCTATGGGATCCAAAACTTTGTACTAATACAGTCATTAGTTATTTGCTTAAAATATAACACCATAAAAAAGACATCAAAAGAAAAACTATAAACTGTTTTATAATCCAATGAAGGACATCATAAGAAAGATTTTATCCACAACAACATAATCATTACCATTAATGTTATTATTGTTATTGCCACCACATTTGTGATTATTACCATTATATGTAGAGATGATGAGAGTCTTGTTAAAAGAAAGTGATTAAGACACCAATAAGAAGATGCTAAGAAGAATAAGAGATTAATTACTAATACAAATGTACCTCGATTATCAAATGTCTCTGGCACAACAATGATAGCAGAATACATGTTTCTTTCAGCCTGAGGAATATGCAGTTTCTCATTCAAGATCCAGTCCCATATAACATATAGGTCTTCTAACACCTGTAATATTGCCAAGAAAGAGGGGGAAATATGAAAGTTGGAGCCAACTTATTTGTTTTCACAAGAAACACATTTCATGAGAATGTTAAAATTTAAAAACCAATAGAATGAATTCTTGTGAGTAGAATCAGATATTATGATGCAGTACCATAGATTTTTTTTATAAATGATAGAGTTTTATTAAAAAAGAGAAGTGATTACATCAAGATTTACAAGACAAACTATAACAACACAAATTACAACTGAGCAAAAAAAAAAAGTTCAGATTTATGCACCCCCATCTTCGCAAAATAATCTGCCATCCCATTTGCTGTCCGCCTTTCCCATTGAACAAAAACTGTCACATCTCTAACCAGCCATTTGAACTTTTTCATTGATTCCTTGTACTTCCAAATCACTGTTTCTGGTTCCTTCACCCTACTAGCAAAGTATCAATTTAGCTGTCTAGCAATCTGTACTCCCTGCAAGACTGCTTGGAACTCTGCAAAAACTGACTCCCCTATTCTAATCGGGCCAGAGAAAACAGCAATAATATGTCCTTTATTCCTGAAAACTCATATACCAGCTGGACCTGGGTTCCCTAAACTGCTGCCATCAAAGTTCAACTTGATAAAGCCTTCGCCAAGAGGTTTCCAAGCTACCACTGGTTTGTTCCTTGCAGTAGAACTTCTAGCTACAGTTCCCCAGTTTCTCCACAAGTCATCAAGGTTAGGCTTTAAGCCAATGTATTCCGAACCATAGATTGTTATACAGGAATTTTCAGCAACTGGTGGTTGTTGGAGTCAGAAAACTACTAGAATTTGTGATTTAGCTCCCTCACAAAATGAAACATGGAAATATGGTAGTTACTGGTCAAGGAAAATAAAAATATTATGTCAAAATTGAAAAAAAAAAGAGGTTTTACCATATTTGTCGAATTGTACAGGTGATTTTAAGCAATAGTGGAGCCCCTAGAAACATACCAACAAGACACCCCGCCTAGGCATTACCTAGGTTATGGAATTTGACAAAGAAAAACATTAATCTAGGTTAGCTTCCTAGTTTTGTAAATTTTTGAAACGTAACACATTCAATTTGGTTGAATAAATAAAAGAATGAGATATTTATATCATGCTAAGCATCCCATAGGCAGATTATCTCTGACCCTAAAGTACATGTCCTTACAATTGAGCCCAAAAGAGCTGAATCCCATCCACCCCTTGCTTGATCAATGTGTCAACCAAGATGAACTAGGAACCTAACAAATCATTGAATAAGTCCCTTGCCAACTACCTTATCTCTTTCATCATGTGTCAATGTATCAATCTTCCTTATTCATGTTCACAGCCATTCCACAACCACCTTGGATTAACCTTCTACCAACACTACTGCCCTTAGATTAAGCATTCTAACCAGCCAAAGACCTTGTAGTACAGTTATCAAGTCTGCCCTTGTTGAGTCACCAACTCCTATCAGGCCCAAATAGATTGCTCTTGTTTGTCCCTTGTTTTCTTGGTAGAAAAGTTGCTGAATAGAAGAGAGAAAGGAGAGAAGAGAAGATTTGGAGTCAAAGAGTCAGGGCTGGCGGTGCCAGCATTTCTATTTATATTAAGGTGACAAAATAAAAGAGAAAAAAAATACAACAGTGCCCTAGTAATCAACTACTAGGAAATCTCTTTGTCTGTTATAATTCAGATTAGTCCGTTTCAGATCTGAACTTAAGGTAAAAGAGAAGAAGATTACGAGAGAGAGAGAGAGAGAGAGAGAGAGAGAGAGAGGGGACAGAAGAAGAGAAGGAAAAAAAAACCTGTTCGAACCAGAGAGAAGAGAAAACTTACTCTCTTAGGTTGGCCAGGTTATATATATAAATATATATATATATATATTATAGTTTACTAAATAATAACAAAAGTCTGTTATGCCCCTATTTAAGTTGGGATACATCAGCACTAACTTAGAGACACATCACCATACTAATAAGACTCAAATGACCATTCTACCCTTATTTAGTCGACACTAACACCCCCCTCAAGCTGGAGAGTATATATCATATAGTCCCAGCTTGTTACATACGTAATCCACTCTTTCCCGACCCAACCCTTTGGTGAACAAATCTGCCCATTGGCTCCCTGTATTAACATATGCTATACTTATCATTCCACTAAGAACCTTTTCTCTCACAAAGTGACAATCAACCTCTATGTGTTTTGTTCTCTCATGAAAAACTGGGTTAGAGGAAATGTGAGCTGCAGCTTGGTTGTCACAATATAGCTTCATCAAAGTGGCAATTGAGTACCCCATCTCCTGTAGAAGATTTCTCAACCACTAGTTCACAAGCTATATGTGTCATGGCTCTGTATTCAGCTTCTACACTACTTCTTGCCACCACAGTCTGCTTCTTACTCTTCCATGTCAGCAAGTTACCCCAAGGAAAGTACAATAACCTGTAGTAGACCTCCTGTCAAATATAGATACAGCCCAATCAGTATCTGTATATCCCTCTATTTCAATATTTCCTCCACTCTTATATAGCAAGCCACGACCAGGAGCTCCCTTCAAATACCTTACAATCCTTAGGACCGCGTCCCAATGTGGAACTTGAGGATTCTGCATAAATTGACTCACCACACTAATTGCGAATGAGATATATGGCCGAGTGATGGTTAGATAGTTTAGCTTGCCCACCAACCTTTTGTACCTTCTTGGATCTTCAAACTCCTCACCTGTATCACTACTCAACTTGACATTCAATTTCATGGGTGTTTCCGCTGGTTTGGCACCCCACAAGCCTATATCCTCCAATAGATCAAGAACATATTTCCTCGGGCACAAATTAATACCATCCTTGGACCTTGCCACTTCTATCTCTATGAAGTATTTCAATTTGCCAAGGTCTTTTGTTTGAAAATGATCATGCATAAATGTTTTCAACCTATCACTACCAGTAATAACAATATCATCAACATAAACCACTAACAAAATCTTCCCTGCATTAGAGTCACAGCTGAATACTGAATGGTCGACCTGACACAGTTTCATGCCAAACTTCTTCACAACTTCACTACATCTGCCAAACCAAGCACGAGGGAACTGTTTAAGTCCATAAATAGCTTTCTTGAGCCTACACACCTTACCATCCTCCCCCTGAGCAACAAACCCAAGTGGTTGCTCCATATACACCTCCTCAAGAAGATCACCATGCAAAAAGGCATTCTTAATATCAAGCTGAAACAACAGCCAATCATGCATAGCAGCTAAAGAGATCACAACACGAACGGAACCAATCTTGGCAACAGGAGAGAAAGTCTTTGTGTAGTCAATGCCATATGACTGTAAATAACCCTTGGCAACCAACTGAGCTTTCAACCACTCAACATTACCATCAGGTAAATACTTTATCGTATAAACCCACTTACATCCAACAACATGCTTACCAGGAGGGAGAGTGGTGAGATCCCACGTATGACTATGAGCTAGAGCAGAGAGTTCTTCCATCGCTTGATGCCACCATGGAGAGATAAGGGCTTCCTGGATATCTTTAGGGACAAAAACAGAAGATAACAACAAAACAAACTGTCAATGGGAAGGGGAACGGTGAGAAACAGAAACATAATTAGAGATAGGATGAAGGGTGCAACTACGTTTACCTTTCCGTAGGGCAATGGGAAGGTCAAGGTTAGAAACGAGGTGTGGTGGTGCTTTAGAAACCACTGTCGGATCCATCAACGGTAAAGAAGCTAGAGGAGCCGGTGCATGTCGATGCGTATACACTTGATGGATAGGTGGTCGTGCAAGAGGGAGTGGCACCGGAGGCAAAGACTTAGTCGCAGCTGGAACAAGTGGAATGGGGTCCGCAATAGGAACTGAAAGCGAATGTGGAGAAGGAGACGATGAGACATCCAACCCAGAGAATAACAGGACAGACTCAAAGAAAGTAACATCAGGACAAAAAACAACATCGAGAATTAGGATCATAGCACTTATACCCTTTCTGGGTCCTAAAATAGCTAAGGAAGATACACTTAGTAGATCGTGCGTCCAACTTGTCTAGTCCAGGACCAAGATTATGCTCAAAGCATACACACCCAAAAACCCTAGGGATGAGGAGAAAGGGAGACATTGTAGGAAACAACACAGAGAAAGGAGACTGACCATCAAAAATCGACATAGGCATACGGTTAATAAGGAAGCAGGATGTAAGGACAGCATCAATCCAAAGCGGCGTTTGGAGACATTCATATGGTGCAACAAGGACCGAACAGTGTCCAAAAGATGGCGATTCTTCCGCTCAGCCACCCCATTTTGTTGAGGGGTGTAGGAACAAGAGGTTTGATGAATAATGCCATGATGGTCTAAATATTGCTGAAAAGGTGTAGAAAAATATTCACGGCCATTATCAGAACATAGGATCTTAATATATACACCAAATTGAGTGCGAATTTCAGCATGGAACATTTGGAAAATGGAAAATAACTCACTTCTTTCTTTCATAAGGTAAAGCCAAGTCATTCTTGAATGATCATCAATAAAAACAACAAAATACGTGTAACCATTATGTGACACAATTTTAACTGGACCCCAAATGTCCAAATAGACCAAACAAAAAGGACTCGACACACGACTATCGATTCTAGGACTAAAGGAAACCCGATGGTGTTTCCCATACTGACACGACACACAATCCAAAGTAGAAAGACAACTCAATGCTGGAACAATTTGCTTGAGATTCTTCAGAGACGGATGACCAAGTCTACAGTGCCACTGTAGAGGAGAAAGAGAGGACTGAAGAGTTGTTGACGAACCACCACCACCATCAAGATAATACAGTCCACCAGCTTCATGTCCTCCACCAATCTTCATCCCCGTCTCGAAATCCACAAAGACACAAGATGAAGGGAAAAAGGTGATTGAGCAATTAAGAGATTTGGTCAATTTACTAACAGACATAAGATTAAAGGGAAACTTGGGAATATACAAAACTGAAGACAAAGAAAGAGAACCATTGTTAACATTACCAATAC